AGATTTGGATTAAAATGGCAAAGTTTAATTGAAAGAAATGTAAAATTCCTTTTAGAAAATCTACTTCAAACGTAAATCAACATTTTTCTTTTGTGTGTAATTGTTAAATGGCAAAGTATGTCTTCATTTATTTAGTGTAGAATAAATTGTTATAAAACTACTTAAACTGTTGTAATATAACTGTAGGGGCATTAGAAATAATTATTGATGCATGCGAATTATTCATTTCACTTCAGCTAAAAAACCCACAAAAATTTGTGTAGAAAATTTGTTATTGACCCACTTGATAATAATTTGCCAATTTAAAAATTTCCATCTACTGAAGACCAGAATTAAAATGTAAAAAAAAAAAAAAGATTATAAACTGTTGTTGTGACATAAACTCAGTGTTCGGCAGAGCGGAATGGACAGCAGAAAAATAATCTAATCATGGATTGAAGGAAAGGTTTCTGTTGTAATGATAGAAATCAGACTTGGCCCCGAGACTCTAAAGGAGGGGACAGTGTCTTCCTGGAGGTAATACCCCATATTTGGCTATAGTATGAGGGAAAACCCTGGAAATTTCTACGAGGTATTCCGAAGAATGAAGCAAGATGCTGAACATCACAAACGCATCGAGTGTCTACAACAATGTCTCTAGCGGATTGAAGCTCATCCCTAATGCTCACCACCGGCTCAAATTATTAATGATCCATAGCTCGGGCATTCTGATTACGGAATGTAGAAAAAATATCCCTCAATATAAAATATGATAATTAATAGCGTTTAAAATAATTACGTTTATTAGTTTTTTAATTATTTTTAAATTTCTTCATATGACGGTGAATTGAAGGGGAATACTGTTAGACTACTATAGGCCATAAGCACTCAGGTCCAAATCTACTATCCAGGACCATTGCAGTCACTTCTGTCAGAAGCAAGAATATTCGTTGGTGATTCAGAGCAAGTATAAGGCCTTGTTTAGAGGAATTGCATTTCCTGGTTTCCTACTATATGACACATAAATGCGAGCCAGTTACTCAAAAAGGTATCGAGAAGACAATGCCTTCATTTTATATTCTTAGTACATGGCTTAAACAAGTGGAACATGAGCTTCCCCCCAAAAAATAAAGTATAGTAATTTGTAATATTGCAACCTGAAATTATGAAAAATTCTAACACTTTATATTTTCTCAAAAAATTATTAAGCAGCGATTTTTTTGTGATTAGAGTTAATCTTATTTAAAACTTAATTAAAACATATTTGCAAACATAATAACTGTTATCAATACATAGGCATTTTTTTTAAAAATAAAGACAACTTTTTATCACAGAATAATTGATGTAAAAAGCAATGTAATTTCTTTTGAAACTGCAATAAATGGTTTTAGATCTTAAAAATTAATCATTTGTAATTTATTTAGCTAAGATTTATTGTTTAAGATAATTTTTGACATTTATCAAAGCTCATCTAAAAGTTAAGTCCTTACTCAGATTAATTCCCAATATGCTAATTAAATTATAATCTTTAAAATAAAACATAAATTAATTCATGGTTAGCAACCAAATAATTTCATCCGATATTGTCGTAATCCAATCCCCTCGCACAAAAGTAGGAAGAGAACCAAATAACCAATCAAAAGGATCAAAAATCTGAAGAAGAAAGAATCCTCCCATCTTATGAATATTCACAAAAGTCGAATTAAGCGACGCCGATAAGAACAATTACAATTTTTGCTCTCAACAATCAGGCCTTTGTGACGCGACGGGGGAATTTAAGTTAACCGATTTCCCATAACCGTGCTCCCTCAAGTTTCGCGAGCAGCGATCACCTCCGTTCATTCCTGAAGAATTGGATTAAAGAAGACAATGAGTTCCCATCACACTCCTCGGTCTGCAAGGGATTCAACCACACTTTTCTGTTCTCCTTAAACCAGATAAACAAAGTCAAACGATTGGTCGAGTTGCTGACACAGAAGTGTTTGCAGCTGTGTCGTGGGGAATAGGGGAATAGAAGTCGTCTCTTGATAGGTAAGAATTGTTGAATAATTTAGTTCTGTAAACTATTCAACATTGAGAATCTTTTGTTCCTACATTTGAGGGTTGCATTTCTATTATTTATGATATGTTTATCTCACAAAAATAAGATTTAAGGCTGACGATACTATATTTGTTTTCTATAATTGATTAAAATCTATTAAATGTAATATTTTCATTCACATTTTCATCAAAATAAGGGAAATTATTCTTTTTTTGATTATTTATATACTATCCGAAGTTTAACATACATAAAACATAACATAAAAATTAATGAAAAATAAAACTTTTAGTGGAGCTTATTTATAATATCAAAAATATTTTATTACAATCGAGTAGATGATCCCTTTACATGTGGAGTATTAGCTAAATCGTTTATTTTCAAGTGCTTAAACCAGGACAAACTCTGAATGCAGACCTTTACTCTGTATAATTTGGTCGAATAAATTAATATTCAATCAAAAAGTTCCCATTGGTTATAACATATTCTCACATTGCTTGGGAACCCATTTATGAGGGATTTGTATATTTAAAGGGAGAAGGCAGAAAAATTTGGCAAAATTATAGTAGACCTAAGAATTGAAATTTCTTCTTTTTTAATCAGTTTTTCAATATAATGTTTAACAGCTCCATCTTCTTAATTTATTGGTGGCAGAAATGTAATCATGTGCATGGTGAATCTAAAAGTATTTATTTATTCTAATTCGTTACAACCAAATAATTTTTTCTTGGTATGTCATTCTTTCTTCGTCATCGAACATATTTGTAAAAGCTGTTTTAAAATAATTTAATTTTCAGAAATTAATAAAATGGGTGATTCTTTTACGTTTATTAGTTCTCAAAATGAAAATTAATTTTAGTTTTTCCTTATACTAATTAAGAGAACACTTGAACAAGTTTATTTATGGTTCCTGCTAAAACAAATAAGACATTTACGCGATATATCAATAATCACATTGCACATAGCATGAGACAAAACAAAAATCATCAAACGAAAACCAGAGAAAATCTAGAGAAGAAATCTCATATATGATGAATATTCATGTAATGCTAATTACCCATGCTAATTAGCTTTCAATATTTAAGTCTTTGATAAACATTTCCTCAAAACACATTCCCTGAAGTAATTTGATGAGCAATCGGCTTCGTTTTATTCATGAAGAATTGTGATTTGACGTCAATGATCTCAACCCACAATCGGCTGGTATGCTTTTCCGTTGTCTCAAAAAAGATAACGCAGAACTCAAACGGTTTGCCGAGTTGCTAGCATCGAAGTATTTGCAGCTGTGTCATTGGGAATAGGGGAATTGCTGCACCTGCCACTTAGTATTGTGCTGAAGGAAATTAAATATGGAATTTACAATTTTTTGTCTCGATATCGGTATGTCTGTATACTTTGTTTGCTTTATGTTATGTACAAAAACCCATAAGCCACAAATGAGTAAATGTTTGTTGCTCATTGCTTAGCAAGGAAAACAAGCGAGTAAACATTTCGCTTTTTGTTTAGCAAACAAAGTCTGTTTGTCTAGTTTTTGTTTAAACAAACAATTTGTTTTAATAAAACTGTTACGAGATGCGCTCCCAAGTGCCACCGTTTTTTCATACAGGCGCGCGTAGTTATGCGATGTATTGAGGAAAAAAAGAATTTTTTACAACATAAAAGCTTTTTACTTTCAAAAAAATAAAATGTAAAAAAAAACAAAATTCTATTTAAAGTCAAATAACAGTGTTAAAACAGATGTTACAACTTATCTGCTGTGTGATATTTCTAAAAGAATTCCAAATAGGTTTCATTTAAAATATGATAGGAGAAATAACTATTTATTTAAAATGTATAAACTTTTTTTTATAAACCAATCAGAAAGATGAGAATGGGACATTGCATTGATAGCTGGTTTCACCATTTGTTTTTATAAGCAAAAGAAGAATAGAGAAATTTCAGTCCGAAATTTTCATGATAGTATTCAGAAAATTATTTTCCCTTTTCTGAAATATAAAATCAGTTTCAAACATTGTCAAGGTCCTTTGGGCATTCCAAGACCGTGGACTAGTGCTCTAGTGCCATGGATGTTTGTAGTGGTTCGGAATACATTTTAATCTGATCCGATCTAATGTGACTGTTGAGCGTTGGACATAAGTTATGTTATTCAACATTGCCCAGACCTTTACAACAACAAACATATTTTAGTGTGGTGAATTTTATTGATGAAGTTTTGGATATCATACGCCTTTCTTAATGTTCACGTATTTTTTATGCAAAGTTTTATATTTATTACATAATTCTTTTTATATTTAATACAATGTAAAGAAATAAATAAAACACATTCCCTATCCTGTTCTTAGAAATGGTTTCTATCTTAAACTTTTATCAATGACATTGAATACAAAAATTGCATTTTTAATGTTAAACCACAAAGATTTTATTCCAAGCAAAATCTACTTAAATTAACAAAATAATATTTTTTCTTTAAACTAATTTTGTGGGTGATTTTTTTCTTTAGTTTCATTAAGTGACTTACGAAAGTGCACTTTATATTTATTTAATTAACTTTAAAATTTACTATTAGTAATTTAATATCTACATATTAAATATTTAACATTTAAAAAAATATATATTTTCATTTTTCTGTTTTCCTCAGTTGCAAAAAATAACCAAATTATCAAACCAGGTCTAACAGATTCGTCCAAGTGTGATTAAATAAATTTAAAAGTTGTTGATTTACTTAACTTACTTAAAGAGTTCATTTTTTTCTTTTTTTTTCGTATGTGTACAGTGATTATATATGTAACTAATTGTTGTTACGGTTAGAAAATTAAAAAAAAAATTAATTTCGATTTTAAAATTATATCTTAATTGAATTATATTATTTAAAGATTTTAAACATAAACATATTTCTACCTCATTTAAAATTAAAGAAAAATAATTTAATATAAAGGTCATTGTTAAAAGACAGCGTATATAACATTTCAATATCTAAAATAGCCAACGGCCGTACTATGCTGAATATACCAGTTCTCGTTAGATCATCGAAGTCAAGCATCATTGGGAGCGGTCAGTACTTGGGTGGGTAGGGAATTTTGGCAAATTTGGGATCTGAATGACTGAGTGTCTAGCGCTATGGCGCTCGGTGCCACCGTTTCGGGTTCGAATCCCGGCGGTGCCATGGATGTTTGTAGTGGTTCGAAATCCACTTTAAGCCGTAGGTCCCGGTCTCATATGACTGTAAGAGCGTCACGGAGCCAAAGTCAGGCTTCTACCTACGGGTGCTCCATCACAACAGAAGCTGCTTCCTTCCCCTTCAATCATGAGTTCGTATGGGCTTGGCCAGCCAAGTGGGATAAGAAACAACAATAACAACAAATCTAAAATATTTTTTTTAAGGATTTAAAGATTTATTAGTGATACTTTATAGTTATAATTCAGAGATATGCAATAAGAAGTAATGAATTATATTCTCAGGTTCTTAACATTATTTTTAGTAGAATAAATATTATTTGAAGCAATTTTACTTCTTCAAATAAACATTGAAATTTTTCCATATTATTTCACAATAAATAAATTCATTTATTTAGAACATCTTTTAGTCAATTTAAAAGAAATCGCAAAATACTGAGTTTCTTAAAATAAATATTAAAAAAAAACACATGAACACGAATATTTATGAACAGAGTTTCATTCATAAATCATTAAAATTGTACCAAAATAATCTTCTATCAATACGTATATGTACGACTTGAAGTTTGCTACATATAATATGCTATTTATGTTAAGAAAATAATTTCTGCTATTGAATATGGCGGAAAATAAAATAAAAAAAGAAGTAATTGTTTATAAAATCATTAAAAAAAAAAAATCAGAATTATACATTGAATGAGTTTAGAAAACTATACATAAAATGGTTTTTTGATAAAAAATCTATTCTCAGCGTTGGTGAATGTGACTTTAATATGAGTTTTCTTTTCGATTTCTTAAGGCGGAAATGTTCTATTCATGTTAGGAAAGAACAAAGAAACTTTTCCTTCAAAAAGAGAAAAATATGATAGTAACAAATAAAGAAATATATCACGCGATGAAAGTTATTCAGAAGTAGTAGATGCTTTGGCATCGTAATAAACTTATAACCGGAACTGAATAGTTGCTGGCAAGGGTATTATTGATCAAAGATAATTGTCCTGAGTTATGATCGTGTTTGACTGATATACTTCATTAATAAACTCAGTCTTCCAATGATAGTGTGGTTCCCATTAACATTTAAGTTATTTTTCTCAGAAAATAATTCAAAGAAATTCTGTAAGATTAATTAAATTAATTAAAATTATTATATTAAAACTAATTATTTCTAAAGGTGTTTTGAAAATTTAGAGGTATACGACAAAAAGTCTACAGTTCTTTATATGAATCCGAAAAAATATTTCATTTACACAAGAAAAATAGGAAGTTGTTCAACACTTTTTCACACAAAATGTTGATGAAAAAAATGCTATAAAAACCGTTAGTTGTAGATAAAGAATACCCACTACTTTTGAACAAATTTATGTCACTTACCCTAACCATTCCTTTCAAGATCAATATGCTCCTTTGTTAGAAAACTGCTATTGAAAGTAACACTCATCCTATCGTCCACTCTGCTATAGAAGATTGCTGGCGTGGATGTAAGATCTTTCCAATAGACGACGAAGTTGAAAAAAAAGTCGAGTTTCAGTGCTTTTAGTAGTGATTTCTTTTGCCACCCATAATAAAAGTTGGCAAAATGTTTGTAATTTCTTTCTTTGCGTGATCTAAATTCGATGTGGACTTCAAAAGTAATAAAGAAATAGGGAATCATTCTAGCTGTTTAGAAAGTAAACGATGATGTAATAATTTGTGAATTGCAATTTAAACGTGTCTTTAGATTTTTTTTTACAAAAAACAATTTAAGTGATTTTAATTTAACGATATTTTACTAGTTATGGATATACTAGTTATGGATTATATATTAGGTCTGTGAATTAATTTTGAGGGATTTACAAGAGATGACATAACTTAGGCTAGATCGCATCATACACTTCTGTAACTATGGTTTATAGTGAAACTGTATCTGTTACATATCCAGCGTACTTATGCTGAATGACCTTGGATTAGATTGCACAGCAAACTGATTGGCACAAGGTGGAGTCTCAGTATTGTTTAGAATGACATTTACGATAGGTGTCTGCAGTTAAAAATTACACAATAATTTTTTATTTTTTGTTGAGTTGTTTGCAAATACAGTGCACTACATGGAAAATGCACCTTTATGAAGATTCAGCCGTATAGGCTGAACAAGTAAGCTGCAATTGATCTGAAATGCAAGGCCAATATTTATATGCTCTATCCCAGTCTCAATCGAAGAATAAATTGTGGAGGATGAATGGAAACATGTGTACTTCCATCCCTCTGGACACTATCCGCACGCTAATTGAATCTATACTTAGGATTGCTGCTTGCACCATTACGATCGTTGGTCCTACTTCCTAATTATCTCCCTCTATATTTTTCCATGCATAAAAGTATCTTCTTGTAAATCCCATTCCTTATATGCATATGAATTCTCTGAATGAGTATCAATTCTTATCCCATTCTACATATTTTTTGTGGTGTCTATGCCGGGGAATGTATTTAAAGAATAAAATAATTTTAAGTATTTTTGAATATTGAAGTAAAGTAACAACATCACATCACTAGTTAATACCACATCAATAGTCATTTTTTTATGTTAAAAGATTTTATTTATATAAATAATATGTTAACAGATTTTCTTTATTTATTCAAAAATATTTTTAAAATATATAATTTTACTTAAGTAATATTTACACTCAAACTATTTAATCATTTTACAAATAAATTCACATGCGTGAATTTATTCCATTTCATTTTCAAAGCCTTTTTCGATAATATTTGTGAATTTAGAAATTCTGCTTTCAAATGAAAATGGCTGAATTTCAAAACATGTCTCAATTACCTTCAAACACTCATCAATCTTTAATATCCGAATAAACTGAAAGGAAATTCTTACAAAAGAGTTGCTTTCAAAACTGTCTTCAGCTTTTCAGACAGTTATGCTAGAGCGCAATATTATTCGTTTGAGTCGGATAAAATACTTCTTTTCTCAGCTTACATTTCAAATGTTCATATGCTTTTGATAGAAACATCCTCCATTTCCTATTTGTGCAATATTTAGTAATATACTTCTTAATTATTGCTAATAAATCTATGGCTGTTCTACCTTTAAAGTAGACTTAAAGGCGTCGAAATGTCATGATAGAAATTGAAATTACAATTGAAGACTTTTTTGTCGTTTGTTAATTTTAATATGTCACAATATTGCATCAGATATCATTCTTCGTTTCTTACAACATTATTATGCACGCCAAAAATATAATCTTAAATATTTCGGAAAACGTACATAAAAAGATAATTTACATTGACTCTTAAAGCGAACCACTCCGCATTTGCATATCGTATGGAAGAAAATCCGGAAAAAACTCCCACCAGGTAGATTTTGAACTTTACAAACTCCATTGCAACTCCTCATTTTTTGAAACAATGTACAAAGCAGCCAGTTGATGGAACCTCAACTGTAATGCTCACTAGCGTAGCACGTTGTCACTTAGCCACAAATCGGGTGTATGTAGCTAAGTAGTGATTTGTGGTGGCAAATTATGGCCACTGGGTAGCGGAGTGTCCGTAATGCACACTTCAATGTGCAAAATTTGATCATCTGTAACTGTAAGGACACAGTTTATCTTATATCCTGGAATTGGTACAAAAAAAAAACAATAACATGGAACTCTATCTATTTCATTATTTTTTTTCTGATGTTAAATTACGTTTATTAATTTTAGTGATTTCATTCTTATACTAACAATTGTAGCTAAATGTATGTTTCATTTAACTGGTTTTTATTTTACATTATTTCTTAAGTAAAGGAATTTATTTCTGGAAGTGTCATTGTCTATGATATGATAAATTTGTAGACCTGAAAACCTTGTCTCTTAGCTTGAGAAGATGGAGAGAAGGATATGTACCTCATAGATTCTGTCCTTGGGGGTTTTGTTTGTTTTAAATTGTGTTTTTGTTGAGTCTAATCCTCAGTGTTCTGCAGTGAGGGACGGACATTCCATGAGTACTCTACTGGAAGGATGGAAGGGAAGATGCTTCTGTTGTGTTGGAGCAACCATAGATACAGATTTGACTTGGCTCCGAGTCGTTGAAAAATAAAGGTAGGAGGAGAACATTTAGGGGGAGCTACCCCGCCTTTAGATGGAAGAAAAACTAAAAAACTCCCACCAGGTAGTCCGTCTCACGAGGCAAGATGCTGAACGTCCCAAGCGCCATCGAAACTCCTCGTTTATAAGCAATGTCTACAACAGAGCAACCAGCCCTATTGCCACTGAGCCACGAGACGCCCATTTTAATTTGTGGTGGTAAAATATGGATTAATGCATCCTGTAATATATTGAATTCGCTAATCTCTAATTTTATTGTCAGAGTTTAATTTATATCCCTGGAATTGGAAAAAAAAACAATAGCATGGAACTCTATCAATTTCATTAGTATTTTTTCCAATGATAAACTACGTAGATTATTTTTCATTCATACATCAACATAGTGACTAAATGCATGTTTTATTCAATTTGTTTTTACTAAATTGAATTATAATTTATATAAATAATTTATTCATATTATTTTTAAAATAAATGAATTTCTCTCAGAATCTGACATCATTAATTTTTCCTTCATTATATCTGGAAGTAAAAGCAGTTTCAATTTCCATTTTTTGCGATACTCCTTCCATTTATTTAAGATTCAATTTATGTCCGTTAAAGCAAGCTGTTTGTAACAATTTTAATTTGAATTTCTGATTCGTGAAGCTCTCTTTTTTCGGATGCCATGAATCAAATAAATTCGGTTTTGTGACTTTTAATACATCCTCTTCGTAGTTCATGAAAGCAGATCTAATTTTACATGTTATGTGTGCATTTATTTATTTACATGCACGAATTTCATTTCTTAAGAATAAGAAATGCTGTATAAGTAAGAAATATAAAT